GGTGGAATGAGAGACGACTTCTACTAGTTGTCCTCTGACCCCCATACTTGAGTTGTGGCACATGTGTACAGAGAGAGAGAGAGAGAGAGAGAGAGAGAGAGAGAGAGAGAGAGAGAGAGAGAGAGAGAGAGAGAGAGAGAGAGAGAGAGAGAGAGAGAGAGAACCTAAATAAATAAACAAAGCCAAGTGTGGCAGTAGGTACTTTTAACCTTAGCTCTACAGAGGCAGAAACAAGCTAGTGGGCTACTGGATAGATAAAATATCCTGGGGTTCGATGGCCGGCCAACTTGGCTTACTTAGCAAGCTCTCAGCCAGTGAGAGATATTGTCTCAAAAAATAACATGAGCGGGGTGGTGGTGGCACGCGCCTTTAATTCCAGCACTTGGGAGGCAGAGGCAGGCAGATTTCTGTAAGTTCAAGGCCAGCCTGGCCTACAGAGTGAGTTCCAGGACAGGCTCCAAAGCTACAGAGAAACCCTGTTTCAAACAAACAAGCAAATAACATGAAAGTAAGAACGGGCTTTCTGTAAAGAACAAAGGCTCAATGGCCATGCAAGGGTGAGAGTAAGAAAAAATAATGGGGAGTGTGCATAATCAAATATAGTGTGTGTGTGCATGTGTGTGCGTGTCTGCATGTGCCTGTGTGTGTGCGTGTGCGTGTGCGTGTGTGCGTGTGTGTCTGTGTAATTTCCAAAGAACAAAAAGAGCAAAATAAAAATGTGATTGTTTGATGCCGCCCTGGAAACAGAAACAAAAACAGGGAAGCATGAAAAGACCTCCTAGCTATAAGACAGAGACTTGAGAGATGGTTCAGTGGTTAAGACTGCTCTTCCAAAGGACCTGGGTTCAATTCCCTACACCCACATGGCAAGTCACAACCATCTGTAACCTCATTTCCAAGGGGTCAGACACCCTCTTCTGCCCTCCACAGGCACTGCACACACAATGCTCACAGATCTACACGAGGGTAAAATACCTATGCACATTTGCAAAAATAAATAAATAAATAAATAAATAAATAAATAAATAAATAAAATAAATGTTAAAGATTCAGACAAAGGCCCAGAGCACACTCCTTCAACTGGATGGTTTCATGACAACTCAGCCACCCTAAGCCAGGGGTCAAGGGCCCCAAAGACCAAGAAAGGGGTCCCTCCAGGAGCTCAGTGCCAGCAGGATGAACGGATCAGCAAAGAGCAGCGGCACTGATGGGTGAGTGCAGCTTTGGGACTCTCCATCCGCGCTGAACCAATCAGTGTGCTGTGAGCACTGTGGCTTTAAATCCCTGGAAAGCAGTTAGCTTCATACAGTGGGGACATTTCCTAGCCAGAGAGTCAAACCATAGCCACAGAATAACATGACAGACACAGAGACCAGACATGACAGGCTCCAACCCCAGCTACATACAAGATCCCCACCCAGAATCTTTAAGGCAAGCCCAGCTCCCTTATTTCCTAGCTGACCCTGCCTTTGGAGTCTGGACACAAAAGTCACAGACTGGGAACTTCCTGAGCTGAATCCTGAGTTTTTCAAAAGATGGTGTCTAAAGCAGGGGATGACTTCTGATTGTGAACCTTAGAGTTCACCGAGGATGCTTGAGGGTCTGCTCTGGGCCTGCCTGAGGCTCCCTCCCTGACAACCCCAAAACCCCCATAGTCAAAGTGCTCTCTCCCTCTTCCTCTCCCTCCCTCTCTCTTTATCCCTCCCCCTCCCTTTCTCCTCTCCCTTTCCCTCCCCCTCCCCCCAGCCTTTCCCTCCCTCTTTCTCCCTTCCCCTCCCCCTTCTCTCCCCCTCTTCCTCCCCCTTTCCTCTCCCCCTCTCCCTCTCCCTCTTCAGCTCCCTTCTCTCCCACTTGGTCTCTTTCTACCATTTGGTCCTCCCCTTCCCACAGGTCCACCCACTAGTGTCACCGTGTCTCACGGGACTGTCGACACTCTCTGCCGCTCAGCATCTCCACTCACTCCTCAGCACTGCCATCTGCTGTCACCCCACCTCTCCAGGAAGGGCCTTCGTCATATCCCAGCAAACACCAGGCCATTCTGCACAGTGTTCCTCTGTGCCATCCACATCACACTTGGCCTCACCCCAGCAGCTGGCTCGGCTGTCCATCCCTCACGGTGAAATGCTCTTCCCTCTGTGTCCATGTGCAGCTTCTTCCCCCACACCATCCCGAGAACATCTCCTCTTCCCACTCCATACCCTCTTAGACAGCTGCCTCAGGCCCATGGACACAGCGTGATCAACCTGACCCTTCTTCCTGCTGAGCTATCCCACCTCAGAGAGACGCTTGCACCAAGTTCCATTGCTCCAGACCTCAGGCTCATTCTTGCTTCCTCTCTCCAAATCACCTTGTCACGTCATCCTACCGCCTGAGAACTCTGAGCTCTATTTCCAAATAACCCTGCTGGTGCCCTGCACAAAAATCCCACCCTCTTCCCCTGTCCTCCAGCAGTGACCTCCAGTACATCTGCTCGTTCACACTCTGTTCCAGTCCTCGCAGCAGTCGGAATAAATGCTTGCAGGCCCATCACAGCCAGGGGCAGTGGACACCTATGATCTCTGCATTAGGAGGCCAAAGCCAGAAAGATCAACAGTCAGAGTTACACAGTAAGACCTTGTCTAAAACAAAACAAAACAAAACAGCACCTCTCCAAGGCCTTAATTAGGAAAAAAAAATCTAAAACCTTTAGCAAAACTTCTGCTTGACCTATAGTCTGCCTTCAGGTCCCTAACACAGGATGCTCCAGTGCTTCTGGTCTTTTCCAGTTCCTCTCTCTCCTTCCACCTCATCCCTGGGATCGCTGAGCTGCTCTGGGTCCCCGGTCACCAGGAATGCTGGTGAGATGCAGGTGCCATTGGGCAATCGGAAGCAGGGCCTGCGACTCGTCCATTCCTGAGAGGCGCTCCGACACTGCCAGTGTGGCTGGTCATTTCACCTCCCTCCGCGTAGCAAGGGTCCTGAATGCCACTCTGACTCTACCTTAGTGTAGGGCCTCCTCAACTCTCAGCGGCCGTCTGATCTGAAACAGCATTTCCTCAAAGAAGCCCACCTGGCCCTCTCCAAGACCTCCTCAAGTCCTGCCCTCTGTCCTCCCTGAGGGATATGGCCTCCCCTGAGGACATTCACCTCCCCTAACTGTCCATCCCTCACTCTTGCCTTTCCCTTTTCAACTTCTGGCTCCCTGGATGGACCATGAACTCCAAGAAAAAAGAGACCACAATATCTTATTCATCCCTGGGTCACTGCAGACCCACCCAGCACTAGGCCTGTGGTCTCAGCAGTCCCTACAACTGTCCTGTCTACTCTGTGTCCATTTCCCCTCTGGAGCGGTGCTTCAGTTTTCCTTCCAGGAGACACCCCACTCCTTCTCTCAGTCTCCCTGGTATAGGTCACGAAGTTCAAGCTTGTCCAATCACAGCATTCCATTTCTCTAGCCAGTGAGCTTCCTCCCTGGGACTCTGTCAGAACTTCTAGCAAAAAGCTATTCTTTTTCCATGAGAGCTACTTAGTCCATAGGAGCTGCCGCCACTGTCCCACCGTCACTGAAGCAAAGCTTACCAAAGAACAAAAACATCGCAGAGAGAGCAAGAGGGACAGCTCCCCCAGTCGAGGCCATGCCTGGGAAAGTTCCTAGGCTGAAGTGAATAGAGCTTCTGTCACTTACAACCGAGAGTCCTGACTATCGCAATGCTCCAATAAACACCGGGTGTTGAATGAATTAAACAGTCATGCAAGCGGAGTCTGCCAAGAGAACTCTCTGCCTCCTCCTAGGCCTCCTCATTCTCCCTATAAACACTTGCTCGCCATGAGCAGAGACGATCTTCCCACGACCAGCTCCGCAGACTGAAGGGCTGGAACTCAGACCGACCACATGGTCCGGGGTGTTACTCTGTGCCAGCAAACCACCCCAGCAGCTGGGTCACATACTATCCCAGACTAGGCTGGCAAAGGTGGCCTGGCTTTAGATGCCCAGGTATTCCCACCAAGAAAAGAGGTGTACCATCCATCCTGTACCCTGGCCCACCCACATCCCACCCACCTCTCAATGCTGGGCCCAACCAGGGCTGTGCTACCACTGTCAATAACCTCACAAACACCATGCTGCTCAGCATGGGGTGGACATATGCCATGGGGCGCAGTTTACCTGCTTCCTTTGGGGTGTCAGGGAATAGAGGAGCCACACAAAGCAGCAGGGAAGAGATGTCAATCACTTCTTGGGAGTCATCTCAGAGCAGAGCCTCAGGACCATCATACCAGCAGGCCTCGAAGGCCTTCAGATGATGCAGTAGGCAGGAAACGTCCTCACATCTAGTCTTTACCCCACAAAATGTGAAGCTGCAAGTTGGGGGTGGGGTGCAGCTGAGCCAACAGTCCTCCTTGAAGCTCAGCCTAGGGTGGTCATCCCATGTTGTTGGAGGTGGACACAAAAAGCAGAAGGGTGTGGAAGGGGGATAAAGTCCCCTTTCTGGGAAGGGGAGGTCCTAGGCTTGGAACCAAAGATGGGGGATGGGGTTCTCTCCAAAAGAGGCTTCCAACTGAAGCTTCGGCACAAGTCGCCCATAGAGACTAAAGCAACAGACAACTTTCCCACAGAGACTAGGGCAACAAAGCCATCTTAGAGGGGCCTTTCAAAGGCAGGTCCCGCCTGTCTTGGATGGCAGCCCCTTTAATACCTAGTTGCATTCTGTCCCTCTTCTTCTTCCAACGTGGACTCCTTGTTCCCCATACCACCATTCCCCATGGTTCTCACTAACCCCAGCATCCTGCCAACCCCGCCGCAGCCCCGGTCTGCTTCTTCACTGCACTCTGACACACACTCCACACCAGTCAGACCTTCCTTCCACTCCACCCAAGGTAACAAGACTGTCTCCTGAAGCATGGGACACTCCATGGCCCTCACTGGAACCAAAGCAGCCGGACATGACGCTAAAACAACAGCAAGGCCACACGATATTCCCAGACATCCTCTCCCTCCCGCTTCCTGACTTTGAGCCTCTTACCTTCATGGTTGGGGGTGCAGTGAGAGGAGGAGACAGTGGCCGATCTGGGAGGGTCACATCCGAGCTGTTGGCCAGCTCCTGCTTCCTGCAAAGAGACCAAAGGACACAGAAGCTGTGAGCGAAGGCTGTCTTGAACCTTTCCTCTGTGATCTAAGAGCGGTTGAGCCTGAAGACATGGAGGATGATGCAGAAAACTAAAGCTGACTGCATTTCTTCCCTGGGATGTTCTAACACCAAAAGCAGTGCTGCGGCAAGGGCAGGCCCTAGTCCACCAGGGCATTTAAGTCCTCAGGGGCATGCCAGAAGCTTCAAGGATGGACCCCAAGAATCTGCTTTACCTAGCTTCTCACATGGTTCTGATGGACCCAAAGTCTCAGAACCACCAGTTTTAAAAGACACAGGACTAGGGGATGAGAGAGACGGGGAGAGGGGTCATCATGTAGAATTCATTTTCACATGGGCATCTGTCCATTTGGACATGCACACACACACCCCAAAAAATGCCTGCACACACACACACACACACACACACACACACACACACACACACCCTGGCCACAGACCCAACCCTTGCGAGGACAAAGTTGCCTACTATAGAAGCTGCAGGTAAAACTTATTTCAGTCCACATGGGATAGAACCAGGTTTGAGGCAGCTAAACAGAGTTGAGTCACCATGGAAACGCTGCTCTCACACACTCCCCACTTCCCATCTGGCCCTTGCTGGTGACCAGAGAGAGCTTGTTTGCTGTCCCATCACCAGGCAGACTGCTTAGGTTGGGAGAAACCTCCAGAGCGAGTTATGCAACAGGGCCATCTGGGCAGAGATGAGGGATTTCCCTAATGGGCCATGGACTCCGATGTGCCCTAGAGGGGAGGAATGGAAAGGCAAGACAACAACCCTGAGAGCCTACAAAGACCCTAACTGCCCTGTAAAAGCCTTACACTCACAGATGCCCCACCATGAAGCACCCAACAGGCAGTCATGTCTGTGTTAAAGGACCAAGACCCGCTATTCCCCATCGGAGAGAACACTCTGTACCTCTTCCCAGATCATGGCCTGCCAGTAGTAGTGACAGCCTCAATCCAGGCTGCTCCTTGAAGGAAACCCACTTTCCCTAGAGCCATACCCCCCAACTTTCTGGAGAGAAATTCTTGCCCTGGGGCCTAGATACAGTCTCACACTGGCTCCCCCAGTTCACAGGCCAGGACAGTCTAATACTTGAGAAACCTAGCTAGGGACAGCACCGTACTGTCTACCACAGAGCCCCTTGCTTTGCTTGTAGCCAGCCATCCGCTCTGTCCTCTAAGCGGCCAGACAGGGAGATGGTGAACATCTGGCTTGGCTCAGGATCCTCATGATCGACTAACCTCAACCCTGGCCAGCTCCCTTTCTCTCCTCCATCTGCCTGCTTCCTTACTTCTTCCGGCACCTTGGTGGGAGAGGTCTCCTCCCTTCTGGTCCAAACTGTTATTGGCCCAAGAACCAGAAAGGACAAGATTCAGCAATGTGCGTGTGTGTGTGTGTGCGTGCACACACACACACAAACGCAGAAGCTTTGTCTGCCTCTCTGCACAAGTCACCAGCCTCACTTCTCATGGATCGACTCAGCCGTGGCAGCTCTGCTGCCCTCACCTGCCTCCTGATGAAGCTGGCCCAGCACGGCCTCTGCCCACTGCCACTCATCCCTCTTTCTAGCAGCCTCTTCTTCTCTTGATGGGCCTGTCCCATGGGAGCCAGAAAGGGGGAAAGCGAAGGTTGATCAAGGGTGGGAAATACCATACTCAGGAACCCCAGGCAGAGATTAGAGCAACGCCCTTGGGAGTTGGGAGGCTGGTAGGGAATGAAGAAGAGGCAAATCCTCCACGAGAGAACACAGGCTGCTCTGGGCTCAACTTCCAGCCAGGCCTTGGTAGGTAGACGACTTCAAGTGCACCTATAACTTACCATCCCCCTTGGGACACTCTTGACTCCTTCCCTTCCTCCAATTTAAGAGCTGAATGTCTATTGTCAGTTAAACTGTGTCCCCTCAAAAAATGGTATATTGACATGCAATCTGCAGCAGCTCTGAAGGAGTCTCTGCAGATGGAATCGAGTCAAAATGAAGCCGTGAGGGGCTAGGGAGCTGGCTCAGAGGTTAAGAGCACTGACTGCTCTTCCAGAGGTCCTGAGTTCAATTCCCAGCAACCACATGGTGGCTCACAGCCATCTATAATGAGATCTGGTGCCCTCTTCTGGCATGCAGGCATACATAATAAATAAATAAATCTTTTTTAAAAAAAAAAAAAGATGAAGCCATGAGATGGGCCTTTACTATGCCCAGTGCCCATGTAAGAAGAGACCCATGTCACCATGTCACCATCATGGCACGATGGATTTAGACAGTAGAGTGACGTGGCTGCAGGTGGAGGAATGCAGAGGATTGCACCAGCCGCCAGGAACTAGAAGGGACAGGGAGGACGCTTCCCCACGGTCATCAAGCAGGCGTTTCTACTGACATCTTGTCCCAACTTCCAGAGCTGAGAAAAGGAATGTCTGCTGCCTCTAGCCAATTCTAGCACTTGGTCACAGCAGCCCTGGGAAAGTAATAACACGGGACAAGTTCTCACCTCTATCCTTGTCCTTGTGACTGAAAGACCAGAATGAAGAAGGTGAAACCCCAGCTTCTACCACAACCCCACCCCCTAATCTGATCAGCTGAGTCCGACCTTGCCCTGCCGGAGCCCTCATGACAATGACATTTCCATGTGATCTATTGTCACCTGCAGGCCAGACCTAGGCACCGGCTGGTACAGAGATAAGATAAGGTGAGAGCCACACACGCAGCGCGGCTCGGCAAACACATCACACAGGAGTAGGAGAAACTGATGTGATTCTCTCCAGGGATGACCTTGACCACTCTCACTGGTTAAGAGCAAAGGTAAATCACTAGCAGAAGCAACAAGACTCTTGTGATCCAGTGTCGTGACTCTGAGATTGAAAACCGCCCCTCCCACTGACCCAAACACAAACATAGGCTTTAAAGACACATGGCCCCGTATGTATCCAGGAAACACGTAAGGTAAGGTGCTGGTGATAGGGACAGGCGGTGGGGAGGAGAGGGGAACAGAAGGATGGAGAGAAGGCAGAGAGGAGGAGAAAGAGCCTGCTCTCGGCCGAAACACAGAGGCATGCAGGCACTAAATGTGCAGGTCGCGGGGGTTCTGGAGGCGCTGCCCACTCAGCATATCTGCTGCCGCAGAGCCAAATGGGCTAACGTTCTCGACTCTGAGACTGACTCCTAGAAGCCTAGGAGATCTCAGGGCAGAGGGGAGGGTGCAGGGTGGCCAGGAGAGGCCCCAGCTGGCTTTAGCAAAATGCAGTCTAAGCAGAGAAGAGCAGCAGAGCTGGGCAGAGCCCTTGGGAGGTCCCTATGTCGGCAGCTCAGCATCCAGGATTCATGTCTCTACCCTCATAAGGCCTGGGCCTTTTGCAACAACACTTGGCCTTTTGCACACCGCTATGCAGTGTCCTACAGCCAGAATCAAGGGATTCCTGGGTTCAAGTTCGGTTCTTCCTGCTACTCTGTCACATGACCTCACCTCTCTGCCTTGGTGCCTTCAACTGCAAGCACAGGAGTGGCGCTGTTCTGAGGAAGTAAAAGCAATGCTGTGGAATAAAAATATGAAGTTCTGTACAAATTTAGTCTAGGGTAGTGACAATATGATTCATAAAATGGTGATGTGGGACCAGCATAATGGCTCAATGGGCAAAGCCACATAAGCCTGAGTTCAGACTCCAAGCCCCACATGGTAGAAATAAAGAACTGACTCCCACAGGTTGTCCTCTGGCTTCCACCTGCACACTGTGGCATATGGGCACACCAGTGTACACGCACACACAAAGAGGTATGTGCACTGGAGCGCACTTAATAAAAAAAAAAAAACTAAGGTATCAATCCATAAACAAAACAAAATGGTGAGCTAGCCTCCAAGTGGAGAAAGAGAAGTGAGGGTCCAGGCTGTTTAAATGTCTAGAAAAACATTCCTATCACCCCAAATAAAGCAACAGTCCTTGCCCCTGGAGATTCTCTCCCAGGATCATAACCACCCACTGGTTAATAATCAACAGCAAGAAAATACCCACCTAGCGACAGACGGCCCTGGGGCCAGGTGCAAGGCCTCCCCCACCCACCCACGGCAGAGTTCTCGCAAACCTTCGTCTCCCAGCTCCCCAGCGCCCCAGCCACCCCTCAGGCACTGACACTTGCTTTCCACATCAGCCAAACTAGAGGAATACAGACAGCTGGATGCTTTGACCAGCTTCTCAAGAGAAGGAAAAAATGGGATGTAAAACATGAGACACAGGAGGGAAAGGGAGAAATGACCCAAATGTCCCAGCTAGTGAGTGATGGGCCAGATGCACGCCGTCTTTAAAATGGGATACTGCTTCACCATGAACAGCAATGACACACAGATACACACTATGGTACAGACGAACTCTGAAAGCACAATGGTAAGTGAAAACAGCCAGTCAAATAGGGACACAAATAGGACAACCTATGGGTTGTGACCCCTTTAGGGTAGAACTGCCCTTTCACAAGGGTCACCTAAGAACATCAGAAAATACATATAGCCGGGCGGTGGTGGTTCACGCCTTTAATCCCAGCACTCGGGAGGCAGAGGCAGGTGGATCTCTGGGAGTTCGAGGCCAGCCTGGTCTACAAGAGCTAGTTCCAGGACAGGCACCAAAGCTACAGAGAAGCCCTATCTCGAAAAAACCAAAAAAAAAAAAAAACATATATTTACACTATGATTTATAACAGTAGCAAAGCTACAGTTATGAAGTAGCAACAAAAACAATTTTATGCTTGGGGTGAGCACAACATGAGGAACGGTATGTATTAAAGGGTTGCAGCATTAGGAAGGTGGCAAACCCTTGCTCTAGATAACTCCCTTTCCATGAGAGGTCCCGAACTGGCAAATTCGAAGCCAGAATGCAGATTAGCAGTTGCCAAGACATTGAAGGAGGTGGGCAAAGGGAAGGCAGCTCGTGAGTGGTTAAAACACTCTACAACTCGACTGCCATGGTGACTGCACAGCCCTGTGAGTGTAGTGAAACCCAGAGAACACCACATACTTTCAAAGGATGAATTTCGTGGCATATGAATTATATCTCAATTTTAGAAAAAGGAACAAGCAGAAGAGGGCTGAAGGTTCTGCTGCCGAATTTCTTCTCCAGCTGTCCTTGAGTCTACTAGGCCCCAAGTGATGAGTGGGTCCTTGCTTTGCGGCAAAGGTGGTGACCATGGTGACCACACACAGCGCTGAGTGGGGCTTCTTTGCTACTGTCACCTGTTGAAGGCCCTGTTCTGCCCCACAGCCAGCATTTTTAAGCACCAGCAGCTCAGTCATGTGTTAGGAGAAAAGTCAGAGTTCTAACTTTCACATGTCCCACCCTACAGAGCCAACTAAATCAGAAACCATGGGCAAAAAACCTGAGCAAAATCAAATGCTCCAAGAGAATTTATCCTGAGACACAGAGGAGGGAGAGGTTGCTGGGAAGTCAGGCTGAGCTCTGGTCCTGGTGAACGGCACCCTCCGCCTCTTGGCGTCTTTGCTCTCTCTTCTGCAGAGCAGACAGAATGGGTGCGTTGACTCTGGACTCCTATTCCATCTACAGGACTAGACTTCATGGGAGCAGAGAGTCATGTGGTCACAGGACAGGCTGGGCAGAGCACAGACCGGAGGGACCAGGCAGTGGAGGCTGAGAGTTCATGCTCGAAGAAGTCTGCCAGAAGTCAGACATGGTGGTACACGACTTTAATCCCAGCGCTCGAGAGGCAGAGGCAGGCAGATCTCTGAGTTTAGGCCAGACTGGTCAAGTTTCAGGACAGTCAGGGCTACATAGAGAAACACTGTCTCAAAAAGAAGAGGAGGAGGAGGAGGAGGAGGAGGAGGAGAAGAAGAAGAAGAAGAAGAAGAAGAAGAAGAAGAAGAAGAAGAAGAAGAGGAGGGGGGGGAGGAGGAGGAGGAGGAGGAGGAGGAGGAGGAGGAGGAGGAGGAGGAGGAGGAAGAAACAGCAACAGCAGCTCTTACCTGCCGGGCCACTTACAGAGACCCAGGACCCAGCAGCATGCTCACACGGCCCTCATTCCAGCACCCGGGTATGCTGCGATGTCATTATGGGTGGGAAGCAAACTCTTCCAAAGTCCATGCTAACTTTATAAGTTAGAAAGCCAGACCCCAGCCCTGAGGGAGGGAGGCAAGCAGTTCAAGAGCACTAGTGTGAGTTTCTGACAGGCCTTAACTTGACGCCCAGCATCAGCCCTGACTAGCTACGTGGTCAGTTTATTTCCCCTCTCTGCCTGTCAGCTTCCTCATCAGAAGTGGCGCTGGTCTCCCTACCCTGACATTCTGAAAAAGGCTTGGAAAGCCCTCAGAACAGTGTCTGGGTGTACACAACAGAAACACATTAGATGATCACTGTTGTTCCAACCGGCAGAAGTAAGTCTGCTGGAGAAGGAGCAGGAAGCCAGTCAGAGCGCAGAGGTGGACCAAGGCAGGAACAGATATAAAATCTCGGTAACTTGGATGTGGGCGTTCCTGAGTCTAGGGGGCTGAGTGTGAGAGCCCCAGTCCTAGCCTGGAGAAGACAGAGAAAGGGGCACAAATACCATAAGTGTGCACAAGGGGCATTTAGATCCGCCTGGCTATGCTGGGGTGAATGTCCAAGAAGGGCAGGACCCTGAAGAACTAACAGTGCGGAGAAGGCAGTGGCACAAAATCTGGAATGAGAGGGTACAGTGGAAGAAGTCCCTTGATGAGCCCTACAGCACAGAAGAGCAGAGTTGTTGACCCGGGTGCTCCATCTCATCCCCACATATAGTCTAAGGTCATCCAGAGATCCATAGCACAATGCTGGACCTTTGGTGACCTGAATCTCTCCCAAACAGCAACCCACGGTTCAATCCCACGGTTCAAGGATAGAGACCAGTAGCACATGGGAGAAACCGGGGAGACGTCGTCTGATAGCTTAATTACATAGTCAGAGCATAACAGAGATGCCTCCTTCCTCTTCTTCTAAGAGAAGCCAGCATAAGCTGAACATGCCAGAAATGAGCAGTCACAACCCCAGAAAATATCTCAGGAAGCTCTCCACATTTATTGACAGACATTTACAAAGCACCTGCTGACTAGCAGCGCCCTATGTAAAGGGAGAAAAGAGGGGACTAATGGAGTCCACAGGTTCCCATAAGGTGTGGACAAACAGCAGAGGCTCGGGCTGGGGAGCAAAAGGCCCAGGGTACACAGGAGATAGGTATGCTAGGCACAGACTCTACTACAATACACACTCAAGTAGCAAAAAACGCCTGCATCTGGGAACCTGGGGAAGCCTGCGCGAGGTTAGAGAGATGGCTGCAGCATCTCTTTGGATGTGTTGATTACAGATGGCCCTGCCCTTCCCTAAAGAACCTTGAAGTCCTAAACTGGGACAAGGGTAAGAGAAAGAGCAGCCAGAAGGCACAAGACATCACAGGACCAATGAGCCACAGAGAGCCAGCTGTGAGCAGCCAATCACCGCCTGTGGGGTACCCACACAGGCAAGCCATCCTGAGAAGGTGAGCTTTTGCTGAGCAAGCAACTCATAGGTCTGGCCAAAGCACTATAGCTCACACATGAGCAGGCGGGAGCTCCCGGGGTCCGGTGAGAGCCTCAAGTCACAGCACGGAAATGGGAGAGGTGGGCTCTGCACCCCAGTTCTCTGACATAGGTTCCACTGTTCTTTCCCTTCACCACGAGGAACACATCTCAGCCTGGCCTGCCTGCCACAGCAGGAGTCGGGGGGAGGGGAGGACCAGTCTGTGCCCTCTCCTGCCCTCTAAGCTTGAGTTTTGGCAACCAAGGCAGGCTGACTCTGCAGAGTCGGGATGTCTGGATTATTTCCAAGCATCCAAGAAGATCCAGACAGAAACAAAAAGCACAAGCCATCATAGTGGCATTCTATACCCACATAGAGGAAACATAACAAAGGACTGTGAGGTCCAGGGAACATGGTGCCTACTTGAGAGATAAGCTAAGGTAAAAGAGAGGAAGACAGACAGCTATCCTCCAAAGGCTGATGCCAGCAACCCACAACTTCTTCTCATTAACTACTCACCAACATCCTTTGGCCGAAGTATTATTGGTTCCATTGTGCTGATGGGGAAACTGAGGCTCAGATATGTTAAGCAACTTGCCCATGGTCATGTTACTGGAAAGTAGCAGAGCAAGGCTTGAACTAGGGTTGTCTGGCTCCAGAGTCCATGACCCTGACCACGAGCGAAAGGGGGACCTCCATGTCGCCCTGCTTCCCTGCATGGGGTGCATGCAACTCTGCTGGCTGCTGAGATGGTGTGGGACAGTCTGCATTGCAACACTCCGGCTTTTACAGGAACCTATTCAGAGCAGGCCATGCCGATTGTCCTTTTATGGTAATGGCTCAAAGTTGCCTTCAAGAGCGAGTCCGTTAAAGCGAAACAGAGCCAGTTAAAGGAAAACTTTGAAGACTGTGACAAGAGCAGGGAAGGGCGTCTAAAGACAGCAGAGTAGCTGAGCATGGGCACTAGGCAATCTTAACTCTACCTGGCTGGTCTCCAAAACAGGGTCTGGGTGTTCTGCCTGTCTCCAAGAAGTGAGTTTCAGGGCAGCAGAGGAGTAGGCTGGAGGCAGAGAGAGGAAGGAAATGGGAGGAGCAGACTGCTCATGGCCAAGGGAACGCAAGCATCTGATTCCTAAGACGTTAAAGGGCAAAGCTAAGAGGGTCTGGAAGCTGAAGGGAGAGGAGGCTATGGTTACACAGCAAAAGATCCCGTTTTCAGAAATATGCGTGATGACTGCTTTGACCATGATGCGCGAACAAGGAAGAAGTGAGTTTGCAAAAGGCAGATGATAAGGCAATTGCTTCAGGCACAGTGGGACGAGAAAAGCACTGGAGCCTAACCTGAAGCAGATTCCAGAAGCACAGAGGTAGAGGTGGGGACCACAAGAGGAGAGGAGGCCCCAGGAGGGCTGGTGGGGCTATAAAAACAAAGGGAACAGGTGAGGAGGCCAAGTACCAAGGAGGGCACAGCAGGCAAGTCACCTGCTAGACCAGAGCTCCATTTGCCCAGCACTTAAGACATCCCTACCCAGCTGTACCTGTGCCCTGCAGCCCTCGCCACACCATTTGCAAACTGCCAGCGGAGCAGCATTCCTCACGTGGTCCGCGCCTCTGTTTGCCACTACCTGGCCTCAGCTGAGAACGACGTCACGGTCCAAGCAAAGGCAGCCAGCTCACAAGGTCACAGACAGCCTCAGACTCAAACATAAACGCACAAAGTCACAAGGGCGCAGGATATCAGCATTTTCCCTAGCTGACGAGCACTTCTTAACCTGGATGGCAAGGGTGTGAGTGTTCGCTTTATGATTCACGCAGTTTGAGTGTATGGCATTTATCATAATGAAATATCATTTGTAAATAGTGATAAGTATGTTCCCTCACTTCCGTTAGGAAGTAGAAGCAGAGATAGCTTCAGCTCAGACTTCTGTGATGGACATGTCAGACTGACCACATGCGTTTATCTCACTTCTTCCAAACTCCCGCAAAACATCAGTGAGAAGGCCTGAATTGCTGAAACAAATGTAATGAACGAGGAAGCCCAGCCTATGAAAGAGAGGGTGCTCAGAAGACGGTCAATGAATGCTAGATGGGGGCTACCCGTGTCATTGAGAAAGATGCAACTGAAAAGAGCATGCTTCACCCCAGAGGAACCCGGGAAGGTCCCAGGCCCTGTACCTGAGATGTAGAACCAAAAGATGAGGGGGAGAGAGACTGAGAGATACAAGAAAGGCTAAGTCTTTGGAGCCCCACCCCCCAGTCACTTCCCCACTAGCCTGATGAGGTTCCCCAATCTCTCCCACCATGGGAAAGTGAAATATCAAGAAAAGGTAGCATCTGGGTTCCTTTAAGGGCTAGATCAGCCTGCTAACAGCCGCTATCACACCATCACGTTGCATGAAGCCCAGACGCAGCAAGCCAACTTCCCCTGCTAAGCTTCCCTTCCTAGTATCTCACTCTGGGACACAGAGAGAAAGCCAAGGATGACCTGAGCAAATCTCTAGCATGGTGTCAAAATAAACAAGAGGAACCCTAAGAAAACGAGCAATGGGAGGAAGCAGGGGACCTTCAAAAACTACCAGGAATTAATAGCCTCAGAGAGGTGAGACAAGATTTTGCAACCATGACACATGGAATAAAAATAGAATGGTCAGTGTACAAGAAAAGGGGTCTTAGGAATTAGTAAAATAATGGGGTACCTGAGGTTCTAATGTGTATAGAGCATTTGCCTAGCCCTAGCACATGCGGGGGGGAGGGGCGGGGAATAAGGGAGGGAAAATGAAAATACCAGAGGACCTAATATTTGACTAATGAGTTCCAGAGAGAGAGGTAATAATTTTTTTAAAGGCCCGAGTTGGTCTCCTGGTGAGGCATGTCCCTTGGTAATGATGCCCTTGGATGCCCTTTGTTTAAATTGTCCTAGTTATTCAATTCTGGCCAAGACAGAAGAACTCAAATACCATTACTTAACTTCCATGGCTGAGTCATGAGAATTCTCGAAGCTTCCACCTTGATCTGTAGGAACATTTACTCTAGGAAAAGCAAGGCAGCCCATGAGGGCTGACCGGTGAGACTTCTCTGCTGTGTCACTCCACACAGACAGATCGTATGGAGAGAGATACACGGCCAGTTCCCAGATGTTCCGAACACCCTAGTCCCTAGCACAAGAAGAAACTATCTTGGTCATTTTGGGCTCAGCAGATGCCACGAGGATGAGAACCTGGGAACTGAGCCAGAGTCAAAGCCTCTAACTTAAGTCCTCAGTGGAGCGTCCCAGCCACCTCCAATACCTGAGCCAGAAAGATGAGGTCCCAGATACAGTGAAAAGAGCCTGGCAGCTGGGCGGTGGTGGTGCACGACTTGATCCCAGCACTTGGGAGGCAGAGGCTGGCAGATCTCTGAGTGTGAGGTCAACCTAGTCTACAGAGTGAGTTCTAAGATGGCCAGGGCTTCACAGAGAAATGCTGTCTCAAAAAAACAAAAAAGAGAACATGAGAAAAGAAAAGAAAGTAGAGACTGGCGCCAGCATGCATCTTCAATGTGCCCTGGCCAAATCTCCAATCCACAGGATACCAGCACGGCAAAATGATTATCAGAGAAACAAAGCAAGAACCTTTCCCAGTGGGTCCTGAGCCTCTCGGTCCAAGTGCCCAGGGCAATGAATGACACGAGATCTACCCAAAGACTCAGGACACATGGATAAAAAAAGTTCAGTGACTCCAGAGAATAAATAACTATGCAGGAGAATATGAACATATGTCATCAAACTTTGCAATGACAACGCTAGAATGTAAGGATATCAAACTTTTTAAAATGATTTGAATATAAAATTTTCTATTTTCTATAAAATTTAACTGGCTAACTATCAACCAACTATGGGAGTAGAATAATGATATTCTAAGATACCTATTTTGGAACAATAGCTCCAAAAACTTCTTTTTTTTTTTTTTTTTTTTTTGTTTTTTGTGTCCGGGT